GAATGTACAAATGTGCTTGACACAATGGATGTATGCATGTATTATGATAAGAGCTATAAGAGCCCCCAGTAAGACGATGGTAAAAAAAAGAGTTCTAATGTCAGAAACTCACAGGGGCCGGTCTCCCCTGCCTCATGGGGGTCGCTGTGAGTCAGAATCGACTCCGTGGCAGTGGGTGCCACCCTGCAGACCCTCAGAGGGCCATGCACTCTACTTTGGAGATTGCTGCTTTGTGCCACACGGTAGCCTCTGTTCCCATTCCAATACCTAAGTAAGGATTCCATTGCCCCCGTCAAAATCAACTTATCAAATAAGGTTTGGGTGAAGACACTGAGACAAGAAGCACACACGTGTGCTGCACTCGGAGCACACGGAGTGTTGCCTTCGGAGAGGAAGAGAATGACTAGCCAGGATCTGTTCCAGCGATGGCTTTAGTTCGAATCCGAGTCATAAAAGCTCACGGAACGTGGTCTTCACTCACACAGTTTCACAAATCTGCTGGGGCTGTAGAAGGAAGGATGTAGCCAGCTGGGTCCCCATGCAGGAGCTTGTTGGACAAAGGGATTGTGTCTGGCTTGAGCCTTCCGAGTTACCTGGTTGAGCTCCTCATCGTTGGCCACAGCCAGCAGGATGTGTCTCGGGGCTATCCGAGCCTTCTTGTTGTCCCTTGCGGCATTCCCAGCCAATTCCAGAATTTCCGCTGAAAATACAAGAGGGTGTTAATAGGCAACTATAGACTGGAGTCTGAGCTTTGAAAAACGTTTCTTTAGAAATTCTCTTTGAGTTCAATCATTTGTATTCATTCATGATTTTTTTTAATGCCTGGATCTGGAAAGAAATTTAGAAAGCAGAAAGAACTTGGGTCACACATAAGTAGGGTATTTTAGCAAGACCTGATAAATGACCTATGAGAAAAATCTCCTAGTTATCTGTCAACAGATGAGCTTCAGGAAGCACTTGGAAAAATAGAATTAAATTTTGGATAATGGAATTTGTCCACAAACTATGTAAAGCCCCCTCACATATTCCCTAGAGCCCTACTATGTATTTGGATCCCTAATCTTTTGCTGAGCTTATTACCATAGCAATAAAGACCACATCCCCCAGCCTCCCTTGCTGATAAATGTGGTCATGAGACTGAGTTCTGGACATGGAGATGCGCACTCGCATCGTGCAATCCTACTGGGAAGGGCCTCGCAATGAAGGGGCTGCGCCCTGCTTCCAGACCGAGAACAAGTTCACTGGAATTAGAGCATCCCTCTTTGACCAACAGGAAGAAGTTGTGGATTGCAAGATGGAATGAGCCTGAGCCTCTGATGGCAGGGGAGCCTCCTTATTAACCTGGACTGCCTGCTCTACACTTCTTTTGCCATTGTAATTCTGATCAACTCAGAACCATACCATCGGGCTGGATTTCCTTCTCTGGAAAGAATAGTTCTGTTGTCAGTCAGGTCTGTCACTGAGGCCTGTGGGGGCCACTCTCCCAATTCCCTTTTCTCCTTTGCTCTTGTTCTACATTGTTACCCCAGGTTGCTCCTATCCGAAAGCAACTTGAATAGGAAGAATTGACTTATAATACAAGGTGGGGAAATGCCTAACCCAGAAAGTGCATTCCCCATGGGGATACCCATAATTCCTTAGTAGGAAGGATGTTGGGGTCCATAGTCTTCCATATGTTCCTCAGGACCTATATGTGACTCTGACTTTAATAAATAGTAATTGTGAGGAAACTGATAACAAATTTCTTAAAACTATTTTATAGGTTATCCCATTTTTTGTGTGTTAACAGTTAAAAAAAAATCCAGTCCAGATGTTATAACATTTGTATGTCTTTCCCATTCAGCTTCTGCCTTATTATTTTACTTTCTTCCTTGCTTTTACAAGGATGTTCTGTTAAATCAAATCTGGCTGCCTTTAAATGTATGAGTGACTTATTCAACATCATGTTGGAAAGTTTAGCCCAAAGTATTAGACAACACAATGAAATCAAGGGAATGCAACCAGGCAATGAAGTGAAACTCTTGCTTTTTTGCAGATGATATGATTTTACACAGAGAAAACCCCAAGGACTACACAAAAGTCTGTTGGAAACAATTAAGAGATTTGATAAAGTAGCAGGATACAAGATTAACAAGAAGAAATCAATTGGATTCCTATGTACCAGTGAAGAGAGCCCCCAAAAAGACATCAAGAAAGCAATACCATTTCCAAGAACCTCACTAAAGATGAAATACTTAGGATTAAACCTAAATAAAGAAACAAAAGACCCTACAACAAACACTATAGGACATTATTACAAGAAACCAAAAGAGACCTACACAAATGGAAGAATACACTGTGTTCCTGGATAGAAGACTTACTATTGTAAAATTGCCAATACTACCTAAAGCAATCTACAAATACAACACAATTCTGATCCAATTCCAACTTCATTCTTTAAAGAAATGGAAAAACCAATGACCAACTTCATATGGAGAGGGAAGAGGCTCAGAATAAGCAAAGAACGTCTCAAAAAGAAGAACAAAGTAGGAGGTTTTGCACTACCCGGCCTCAAAACCTACCACACAGTCATAGTAGTCAAAACAGTCTAGTACTGACACAATGACGGAAACACAGACCAATGGAACAGAATAGAAAACCCAGAAATAAAAGCACCCACCTAAAGCCAACTGACTTCCAACACAGGGTCAAAAAATATTAAATCGGAAAGGGATACTCTCCTCAACAAGTGGTGCTGGAAAAACTGGACTTCCATATACAGAAGAATGAAACAGGGACCATACCTCTTGTCATGCACAAAAACAAACTCAAGATGGATTGAAGACCTGAATGTAAGCCCAAGAGCTATAGGGGTCCTCAATGAGAAAGTTGGGACAACCCTAAGGGCCCTTTTGCAGAGCACACACAGACTACCAACTATAACAAAGAAACACTCACAGTGAAAGACCACATCGATGCCTGGGACCTATGAAAAATAAAACACTTCATTGAAAGAGTAAAACGAGAACCCACAAATCGGGGAAACGTCTTTAGCAATGACACAGCGGACAAGGGACTAATTACTAAAATCTACACAATTTCACAACATCTCAATAAGAAAAACAAACAAACAACTAATCCAAGTAGAACATGGGCAAGAGACACGAATAGACCATTCATGAGGGATGACAGGCCCATGGCTAACAAACACATAGGGAAATGCTCATCCCTAACCTGCCTCAAGATTCAAAATGAAACAATTATGAGATATGTCACTGAACACTCATAATGATAGACATTTAAAAAAAAATCTGGACAACAAATGCTGGCAGGGGCACAGAGAGATGGAAATTTTTATACACTCCGTATGGGCTTGTAAATAGGTATAACCATTGGGGAAAGAGATGTGGTGCTACTTAAAGCAACTGGGAATAGAAATGCCATCTGACCCAGCAACACATGTGTGCTCTCCCATGTTCATTCCAGCACAGTTCACAATAGTAAGAAACTGCAAACAGCCGAAATGCTCATTAGTAGAAGAATGGATAAAGAAACATACACACCATGGAATATTATACATTCCTAAAAAACAGCGATGAAACCATGAGAAACCTCATGACATGGATGGACCTGGAAATCATTATGCTGAGCAAAGTCAGTCAATTACAAAACATCAAATATTGTATGAATCCACTCATGCCGGGATAGACACTAAGGGGAAGGGTCCTAAGCAATGACAGCTCTGAGCCTGCCTAGTGTCCAGGAGCCCCCTTTATTTGTACCTCTTAAAAGCCACTCCGACAGAAGAAGTCTCACTGCAGCTGGGGTCAAGTGATGGGGGATGAGGGAGAAGACCAATGAGTTGCTGCCATACAACATTGTTTTAGGACCACCCCAAATTAACAGACACTTCTACAAAAGCGATACAGCAAACCTTACTGGAAATTCAAGTCAAAGTGAACCAGAGGCATCTATAAACCATGGATTTATGAATGAATTTAATTGTAGCCCTAATCTAAGAACAATTAGTTCTTTTTTTTTTAACAATTAATTCTAATTTCATGACCCTATTGGTTACTTGTCCTCATGAAGCGATCACTGATGATATCAATGCTATAGCAAAACGTCGTGAAGAAACCAGATGGTGCTGAGCTACAAGAAAGAATAGCACTTTGGGTCTTAAAGGCTTGTCTTAAAACAAGCAATCATCTAAGTGAGGTATTAACTAAGTCCACAAGGAAGAAGCACATCAGCCTGTGTGATCCATGGATTATAAATAATAAAATCCAAATCCGGAGGAGGGAATGGTATCAGAGCTTAAATTGTGAACACCCTAGTTTGCAGAAAGCTCTGGATGACAGTAGAAGCACCAAATCCATTTGCAAGTTCCCCACATGAGCCAGCAGTGAATCCCCTTGACCACAGTTAAGGGACGTGAATAGCCTTGGAATCAGACAACGAGCATTATAAAGTTGATTATGGTCGGTGTAGTTAGGTTAACATTTAATACTTTATCATTTTATCTCGACCTATTTTAAAGTTATTTCAGTTTTTAATCTTTTCTGCTTTCTTTTTGACTGAGGCTTTTCTGCTTTGTTTTGTCAGGGTTTTTGTGAGTTTATTTCTTGTTTGTGTTTTGTATGATTTTCTGTATATGAAATCTCAAATCGGTAATTAGGGGCAAAGTAGAGAGGCTGCAGAAAAATGGGGAGCTAACAACAATCAGTATGAGACATGAGAAAATGTTCCCAAACTCCGTGTGGTGATGATGGCACAACTCTTCTTAATATGATGATGAAATGGTATGATATGTAGCTTATATACAACAAACTTTCTTACGTGAGTCTCACAAAATTTTCCTTCCCTTAGAGAGCTAAAGTCAATACGCCAGTGTGTTCTCAGAGTGATAATGCAGAAAATATGTGAGCATGAGTGTCTTGGGTGTGTGTGTGTGTGTGTGTGTGTGTGTTTTCAGGGAGAGTTGCCTGTATAAGGACATAAACACTAGGCTCTAAAATTAATAGGGACTTCTGCAAGCGTCTTTACAATCACTTTAATTTCAGATAAAATAGCACATAAAATTGCCATCATTCATAAAATGCTACTACTAATAATAACCACTTGGCATAAGTATGCTATGTTAACTAAGAAAATGTGATTAACAAAACATTAGAATAAAATAAACACTAGAGTTAAATATTTATATGTCATTTCCATAACGAAACGTGTGAAGTCATGGCAAATTCATTTTTACATCATCATTTTCAGGTTACGAAGCAGTAAATATTGTGTTTTACACTTAAAGAAAGAAAGAAAAAGAAATGCAGCCTCACTGTTGTTATCAGAGATTCATTTACTCCGAGACCATGTTTTCTGGATCGATTGGGGCATTAGGGTTTGTGAAGTACCAGCATGCTAGTTGGGGCAGTGTTGCTAGCGGCCATCAAGTTGGGCCCTGACTCCTGGTGACTCCACCCACAATGGAATGAAATTCAGGAGAAAGTGTGTGCCCTCTGCTGTTCCCGGTTCAGTCAATGCCAACTTTGGGGGTGGCCCCATTCAATTCATGGCTTCAGCTTCCACCCACCTGCTCACAGTCTGTAGCCCCAGCTTTGCCATCGCATCACACAGGCAGCCTCACTGGGGTTCCACCATTGGGGTAACCCAAACTTCTGTCCTACCTCCCCCTGCTAGGATTAGCCCCTCTCACACACTGCTCCC